GATCAATACATACAGACATACAAGCAAATATATTTAGAAAACGCTTTCCTCAAGATTTCTGCACAATAGTTTTCATTATTTTTCTTCCTTATCTTCATGAACAAACCTAATAAAGCGGTACTCTCCAACCAGGCTTCACTTTCTTAGTGTCTCCATATTTGTTCATCCTTGCTCAATATGAGAAAGTCTCCATGCCTAAAATTGTTTTCTTAGAACTCCCCAGAGACTAGTGATCTACTAATTCTACGAATCCTACTAATTCTGCTTGCTCAGTCTCCATTAATGTTAAGCCATCTATACTGTTAACTGTTCAGTTCTTTTTATAAATCTCTACTCCTTTCTACTCCATTAGCTATCCTATATTTGCATTCCTTTTCTTCCATCTGTTTCTTAAAAGTAATAGTTTCCCAAGGAAACGTCTTAAGTTGTCATTTCTCCCCAACCCCATTATCGCTACTTTCACCTCTAAGACCCTGAATAGCACTGATCCCTTCCCAGGAACGAAGAGCAGCAGCAATTCCCATCACCAGTTATATCCGCATTAGAAAGCAAATATATCCAACAACAAACTCCTTTTTTCCTTCCACCGAACTACATATTTTATAGCTCTCTACTGTCCAGGGTCAAAGTGTAAAGAGATTTTCTCTTTTATCTGTTTTCTACATTCATATCTAACCAGTGGCCAAGTCTAATAAATTCTAACTTTGTAATATCTTTTATCAATTCTTTTTCTTTCCCATTGGCCATCAGCAAGATCAAAATATTACCTCTTGGATGGGACTAATGAAATAGATATTTTCATAAAAGTAAATTAAAAGAAATAGAAAATGAAAATTAAATGTTGATATGAATGAAAATGTCACCAAGATGGGCCAGTTGATTGTCTAGCACCTGGCCTGATAATTTGTCATTTCCTTGCTAAAAGCATCACAGTCCCTGTTAACAGCCTACAGCAATTTTTGCCCAAAGAATAAACTTATGTTCATCTTTCTAACAAGAATGCCAAATAAATTGAAATGCTAATTTAATAAACAATAAGAAATATCACCACCAAGAGCACTGAACACTCAAATTACAAATAAAATGAGTGAGGGGGAAAAATTGTAGACTGCTAAAATACAGAGTGAACTTTCGATGAATAAAAGGAGCCCAGTTACTTGAAGTCATCTAAAAGTTACCTTGTGAATTATAGATCAACTAGAACCAGAATGAATATGTTAACATGCAGGAAAAGAAAATGTAAGACCCTATGAGTGTCGATCAGTCTTGAGAGCTTTATTAGTCAAGGTACTAGCTAATTTGCTGTAGAGACTCCAAAATACAAGATAGAATTTTTTTACATTAATACTCCTCTTATATAAAAGTCCAGAAGTAGGAAATTCATCTTTAATATGTGTTTTTCATCTTGTCCCCATCTCTACTGTCTAGAAGATGAGGCAGACTAAGAAAAGGATGAAGATGTCTGAGTAGGCAAGTCTAAGTCTCAGGCTGAATTAGGAGCTCCATTTTTACTGTGATTGATGGCAGGTCTGTCACTAAAAGAACTTACCTAATGATTTCCGGTTCTTGATTCCTTTGTCTAACTCATTTGTTTCAGAACTCACATTTATTATTTTCTTTAAATACCTACAATCTACATAGCACTTTATTTAAAAAATGTATTTTAAAATTAGATCATTTTAGGTTTTGTATCATATTTATTTCTACGCTTGTTGGATCCTAAAGTCTCAGGTTCTTTTGTCACTTTGTACCAACTAATAGGGTACACAATACCTTGTGAATATCAATTACTTTTAGTCAAAATCATCACTTATTATAAAATGAAGTTTTAATAATATTATTCTCTCTCCTTTTTTAATAGAGAAATTTGAGTATTAGTGTAAGCTTCATTTTTAATTTGTAGTTTGATAATCCTTGCATAAAGCATTGTTTGGACTATTCAACGTTTTCCCCACTAAACTACTTAATTCAACTCCCAAGTTTGTTCTCTTATTATTAAATCAATATATTTGAGCTCTTTAATTCCTGCTGATGCTCCAGGGCAAAATTTCAAACATGTTCTGTTAAAAGTGAATCTTGACTATATCTTCAATTAATGTATAATACAGAAGACTTGATACAAATTACTTCAGTCAAACAATATTCTCTCTTTTTTTGTTTTTTTCTTTTGCTGAAGAAGATTTGTCCTGCGTTAACATCTGTTGCCAATCTTTCCTTTTTTGCTTGAGAAGATTGTCACGGAGTTAACATCTGGGCCAATCTTCCTCTTTTTTTTGTATGTGGGATGCTGCCACAGCATGGTTTGTGTGTAGGGCCACACCCAGGATCTAAACCGTGAACCTTGGGCCACTGAAGTGGAGCATGCAAACTTAGCCACTACATCACCGGGTTGGCCCCCCAACAATATTCTTAATAAAATATATTAGCTATGTTAAACTAAGTGATCTCCTGTTTGGATGATTATTTATATTCAAATGATAGTACATATCTGATTAAGGTACTTGTATTTAGAATATATAAAAACTCTTACAACTCAATAATCAAAAACAAATGGCCTGATTAAATATGGGCAAAGGATTTGAAGAGGTTTTTCTTAAGGAAGATATATAAATATTTAATAAATGCATGAAATAATGCTCAATGTAATTAGTCATCAGAGAAAGGCAAGTCAAAGCCACAACAAGAGAGTACATTGCATTCACTAGGATGGTTGTGATCAAAAAGGCAGATAATAACAAGAGTTGCTGAGGATGTGAAGAAACTGGGACCCTGATACATAGCTGGTGGGAACACACAATGTTATAGTAGCTTTAGACAACATTCTGGCAGGCCTATAAAAGGCTGAACAGAGTTTCCATAGGACCCAGTGATTCCACTCTTAGACATACACCCAAAAGAAATGAAAGCATATGTTGACAAAAAAAAATCTTTATAAAAATGTTAAGAGTAAACTTATTCTCAATGCTGGAAATAACCAAAATATCCATCAGCTGATAAATAGAAAAATAAAATGCGATATATCCATACAATGGAATATTATTCAGTCATAAAAAGGAAAAAAGTACTGATGTATGGTATAATATGGATGAATCTTGAAAATATGGTGCCAAGTGAAAGAAGACGAAAACAAGCACATATTGTATGACTTCATTTATATACGATATGCAAAGTCCAGAATAGAAAGCTCCATAGAGACAGAGTAGATTAGTGGTTACCTAAGGCTGAATGGCTTGGGGGAAAATGTGTGTGCTAAAAGGCTTTCTTTACAGGGTGAGGGAAATATTCACAAGTTAGTGGTGAAGGTTGCACAAGTCTATGAATATACTAAAGAACATTGAATTGTACACTTTAAATGGATGAACTAACTGTATGCTATGCAAATTACATCTCAATAAAGCTGCAATAAAGAAAGTGATTCTGGTGGACAACAGCATTGATTGTGACACTTAGTTGTGGAATAATTTTTCAGGTCATACTCATTTATGGGAAATCCTTAATTATGTGGTAACAATGTCTTCAACAACATCACTTTCTTTTTTAATAAGGCAAAATTCCTTAGGGTATTTTGGGAAAAGTACTATTTTAAGGGTCGCTGAAATTCTTTTTTAATTTGTGCCAAGTACAATTTGTTCATCAGGCAATATTCTGTGTCAATAAATAATATTTACTAGGAGTCAGACAATGTAATCTAACCGGTCTATGAGTACTGACGCATGTTAGTGTTGACGGGCCTCATTTTATTTGTACAACAATGACGCTGAACTAGATATTCAGTTCTAAAGTTGTATGATTCTATGACAAAGACGGGCAGCAAAATAAAGAACTCATGATGAATTCTATGAATGACTGTGTCAAAACAGTTTTCAGTATTTTATTTAATTTTGTCAAAACGCTCAGTACTTTCTTCAAAGAAAAACAATTTCATTCATGATTCTGCTACCTCCTTTCCATTGCAAAGATTAAAGGCTCGTAAATATGTAGAATAGAAATGAATCTATTCAGAACTTTGAGAAAACTGCTCCTGGGAAATTCTGACTGTCCCAATAGAGCAGAGATGTAATTAGATGTAAGACAGTAAAATCTACTTAAAAATACCACAGGGTATTTACTATTTTTCAATTAGTAACTTACTCCATCTAATATTAAATCTCAAGAAAGAATTTTCCTTTTTCTTGATTTATTTGACTTGGCATTTCACTTAAATAACTATCAATTAATTTACTAAATTTAAATAAATCACAACTATAAGCACCACAGTGGAATTTACTTTGAAAATCAACATTTTATCTAAAATACCAAATAAGGAATATGAAAAAGTGTGAAATGCAGTGCAACATTTATCTCTTTCAATAAGACAGGTGACTATGTTCATTGATTCTGTTTTCCTTGATCATCCAAGTCACAAACAACTTCAATCAAACTCTATCAAAATAAATAAATAAGAGCAAAATATTCTGATATTATAATCTTCCCTCATCTACTTTGAAATGTATATAAAAAATGATTTCTTTTACTACATTACCTAATTTTATCAACGACTTTGTTATCATGCTATAAGAATCGTAACGTTTTAACTTTGAGGTCAATTGTGTTCATACAGCTTTAAGATAAAAACTTACCTCAGGAATAGAAAAAAATGGCTTTAAGATCTTATATTAGTGACCTTCATTATCCTATTTTTGAAAGTTTCATTTGCTAAGTACTAATCTGGAAAATAGAAACAATGCCCTAATCCTGGGCCAAACAAATGAGGTAGTCACTTAGAATTTAGTATGAAAAAGATTCTCTCAAGATAGGAAAGAGAGCAAATCGTTGTCAATTTTCTGTATGTCTTGGACCTTTTAACGTGTCTGTATCTTGTGATAACTCAAACAAATACAAATATAAGGTACATATCTAGCTGTCTAGTTTGGCTTACTATATTTCTAAATCACATAATTGCACTTATATTATTTTTTTATAATTTAAAATACGTTATCTTAAAGAAAAAATATACTTACTGCCCTCTAGAGGTATGAACCAGTAGTGTAATAAGGGTAGATGTTGCTGGGCATATGCAGTTTAAAGCTAACATGGCGTATTTAAATTCTTCTTCACAGACAACATGATCTGTTTGAAATAAAATAGGTAAATTAGAATAATTTACCTCGGGATAGTAATATTCTAAAATAATATGAAAAATCAAACAATGAATAAAATTACAAAAGCTTCAACATAAACACACTTGTGCTAGAGATGTTTCTACATGTGCAATCTTACCCCCAGGAAAAATATGTCATGAGAGAGAGTACTAGACTATGAGTGATTCAGAAGGGAGGGGATTCTAGCCCCAGTTCTGTCTTTAACAAAATTGGCAGCTTTTGGCAAAATGTTTAATTTTTCCTATGCCTTATTGGTACAAGGAGATAAGACGTAGATAGATTTCAGTCTGGAAAATAGATCAGAGACTGTATGAACTCTATTTTAGTTCTGATAATTCTACATCATCAAATACAATAGGATTGATTTAAAACAGTACTGATTTATCAAATTCATAGTCACACAGCATAAAGACAGTAATTATTAAAAGACGCGGTAGATAATATTTGCACAACACATAAGTAATACATTTTGTACAATCAAAACTATAATATCAACCAATAAAAATTAATGCTAAAGTAAATTTAAATTTAAATTTGACTTTAACCTGGTGACCTAAGGTCATAAACTCAAAGAATGACAGAGTCCAACCAGGAAGGAAAATAAATGGCAATTGAAATTCAATGATGTAAAAACAATAAAGAGGCTAGAGATGATGGCACAGGAGACAGTGCAGGCCACAGGAAAGGGAGATAATGTTACTTAACCCAAGGATATCATTTTCATGCAGAAATGAGGGCCCCCATGCCAGATATTCAATTTTCCACAGGAGTCATATTTTATAGAAGTGATTAAAGTATTATTTATTTTGGGAAAAAACTTTCCCTTTGGAAGTAAACAATTATAGCTGGCATTGGGACTAAAGACAATATTTAAAGTTCTAAGAAAATAAATATTCTTGGGCAGAGAACAGAATTTTTAGCTAAATTAAGAAATAGAAGGTTGAATTAGTGAGCCAGACCTATAAAATGAACACGTACACAATACAATTTGTGAAGAAACAAGAAAAAATTACTTGGGAAATGTTTCTGTAATGCTCCACACAGGTAAATATTAACCCTACTCCTGTTTTTATAATACGAGTTAGCATATGAAAGAGCCCATTTGCTTCTCTTTTTCTTTCATTTCCTTATTTATTTATTTTTCTTCACATTTCATGGAAGAAATTGTATGCTATAGTTATATCTCAGGATTTACACTTTAAAAAAATCAAGGATCTGCTATTAATGTTTTCCTCTCTCTCTGTCTCTCATTTTTACTTCTCAGGATATGATAATGATCTTTAAGAAATTTAAAAAAATACATAACCATGACACTTAATATTTTGCAGAAAGGCAGGTAGATTCTAAATCAAATTTTGAATGTGGAAAAGTATATGGAATGTTTGCAAAAGGACAGTGACTTTAAACCACTATTTCATTATTTCTCAAATTAAATTTTTTTAACAATTGACACCTGAGCTAACAACTGTTGCCAGTCTTTTTTTTCTCCCCAAATCCCCCCAGTACATAGTTGTATATTTTAGTTGTGAGTCCTTCTAGTTGCGGCATGTAGGATGCCACCTCAACATGGCCTGATGAGAGGTGCCATGTCTGCGCCTAGGATCCGAACCAGCAAAACCCTGGGCCGCCGCAGCGGAGTGCACCAACTTAACAACTCAGCCATGGGGACGGCCCCTCAAAATAATTTTTGAGCATGTATGCTAAATTTGTGACAACAAAGTAACAAAACTGCTAAATGCAGAGCTATAACTTTAGAATTGTACCATAGCAATACACACGGGGGTCCATAAATTTCAAATCAAAAATCAGAACATATGATCTAAGAAAATGTGTGCATTTATTACAACATGAAACAGAATATTTTAAAATCCAAACTGTACTACAAAATTTGGAAGGTATGATTACTATATAGGTGATACCACACACAATTACTAACTCTCCCTGCTGTGATACACAAACCAAATTTCTTCTAGTAGGGACCATGAGAAAATATGGTACTTGTGTGATAGTTTGAAAATATCCCAACTTATTTTCCTTCAGTGGTTAAAAAAGAAAAAAATTGGGTCCCCTTCCTTCCTTTTTCCTTAGTGAATGTGCGCATCTGCATTTGGATAGAGATGGCTAACGGAGGATTGTGTTGCACTGGCAAATTTTTCAAAAACGACACCTATCAGTAGGAAGTGGAAAGAAGGGAAAAATTAATAAATTTTTGGTAGTCATTTTTATTTCAGCCTATGCTTTTTTCTACACGTAAGTGAAAGTTTTGAAGTGTCTGCTAGCCCAGAAAGCAAAGTATACATCACCAGAGGCAATTTTACAAATACGAAGCATGTTTTGCACTCTTTGAATATATACTGAATTATCTAGGAACACGACTACTGTGTAAATTAAGAGAAAATTTATTATGCTTAGCATTGTATGTGAGTGATTAATACAAACTGAGGATGTTTGATTAATAACATTGTGAGTGTCAGTAGCTGGCGCATCCTTATTGTTGCAAGCATCTCTCTTTTCCACTGTTTTCTTGGGGATTCATACCTGAGCATTTATACATTGAAAAATATTCCTCTTTATTATTTCCCTCCTCTTTTTCTTTCATATTATAATTAGGATATTACATTAATTATTTACAATGTATTTATATAGATAGTTATATTTACTCTGAATTTCATTCCAAGGTAGAAAGGGAAGTGTTACAAAATATTTATTGTAAAAAGAAGGTATTGGATCAGATCAGTTGAAAACCACTTTCTTAGATAAACAAGTTACTATATAATTATTATGGAATTCCCTGTTAGACAAAAAGAAGAATCAGTATTCTTTTCATAAAAAAAATAAAACATCAATCAATATGGATGGTTAACACAGGGAAAGAAACATGATAGAATATTCAACTAGATCGTAATCTTTATTTCGCATAAGCTACAGAAATCTGAAAGTCAGTCTGAAAAATAGATTGACTGTATCTCTAGACCTCTCCCCTCAGATCCAAATCCATCTGTGTTCCTGGGATACTTTTAAAATACTAATCACTATCCTTTAACCTGAATTAAAAAATTGAGAATATTCTTTCACGCTGCTTTGCTCCTCATTTCCCAGTGTCATATGACTGACAAGGTCTATTGATTATTAAAGTCCCCTCTCTCTTTCTCACTCCCTACTCTCCCATTTCCATACTCCCTCCTTAAGACAGCTTTCCAATCCTTATCCATAATTCTTAAGGGCCAGATATCAGCTTTTAGTTTAAAAAAAAAAAATTATTTCCAGATTTTAGAAAGACAATATGCTTCATCTACCAGACCCTATGTAAGACATCTAGCAAACAATCTATGCTGAAAAACCCTACTATTTCTGTAGTTAAATGTGTGAATATTTATACTAAGTGGAAAAAATCAAGTTCGCTGCAGAGATTGCCACCAAATAATTTCACGTCAGGCCAGATCTTACAACTAACAGAAATACTAAAATAGTTTATTTTTCAGGACTTTCTGGATTTGGAATTATAGTTAAGGGATTGCAGACCTTTATTCAAACTCTGATAATCTCTCACCTAGGCTAGTGCAACAGCTTCCTAATTGCTCTTCACGTCTTCCACCTCTCTAGCATTCCAACTATTACCCTCCTAAAACTCTGCTGTCCGATACAGTTGCCACTGCCACATGTGGCTATTTAAATTTAAATAAATTAAAACTAAGTACAAATAAACATTCAGTTCCTCCATCACACTAGCCATATTTCTAGCAATAAAGTGCTCAATAACACTTGCGGCTACTGGTTACAGTATTAGACAACGCCTATATAGAACATTTCCATTATCACTGATAACTGGATACGGCTGTTCGTCTGCCAAATGGATTAATGACTTTTCACAAATCCTAAAGCTTATCGGATATATTTCAAATTCCTTAAAATGTGACTCATAGACTGTCAGAATTTGGGTAATCTTACTAACATAGTGTACTCTTTTCATGCCCCTTCTCAGTCACACCACCTCTAAAATTGCTCATCTATAATAACAGGAGAGAAAGTAGAATATATGGGTGTACATGCAGGTTGATGGGCAAAAGTTTATGAAAATTTTGTTTTTCTTCCTATGGTTCTATTTTCTTAGTGAAATGGGTGGAAATAAAGATTATAGAAGAGGGTAGAGGTGAGAGAAGAAAATGTGGGATAGTTGTTTAAGAGAGTGGGAGAGGAAGCAGAATAGAGAAACACAGAATGATTGTTTGATGACTTCTGGACCCCTAGAAATTAGTGACCATGAATTTAAAGTGGGAATAGTCTGCAGGTTGTCTTTTGTTTATTTTGTTTCCTCTGGTCACATTCAAATGCATGGAAATAAACATCAAGACAGACAGTTAGATTTCACTAGAGTTGACTTTTGACAAACAAGTCTACCTAATGGAGAGAGGGCCAGTGAATGAAGGATGAATTGTAATTATAGAGTATAGTGTGCCATGGAATTCAAACAAGTTAAGAAGCCAAGACAGGACCTGTGGGTGTAAATAACAGTGGAAATTTGGTAGAATCAATGAATTGTAGGTCCCAGTGTATTCAAAAGAGAGTTGGAATTCTGTATGAGAGGTAGTAAACTGGGAAGATAAGAGGTGGTGGCAAGAGAGGGGGGTGCTAGGAATAGAGATTAAGAGGGGTCACATTTACTGGTAATGACATGATCCAGGGACTATGCCTCTGAAAGTGGGTGCTGAGAGAAGATGTGGGCAAGAACAGTGAAAGAAAGGAATTACAGAAGCACAAGTCTAGGGCATTGAAAGAACCATTTTCACGGCTACCAATATCATTAACTATTATGGGCAAGGAGTGTTGGAGAGAGTGACAGTGACCTAGGAGAATGAGTACGTTTTCCAGACTTATCAGTTACTTACATTGCCTTTTGGGGACATTTCAAGTCACAAGCAGCCAATTTTTATCTAATAATTTTCTAATTAAAAACATAAGACAAAGTTC